AGCGTTTTAACAAGTTTTTGTGTGTGGAATATTTGCTGGTTTATTCCAGGATGTTTCTGTTGGGCGTCGTCGCTTTGGGATGTTCTGTGTTCATGTTTGTGTTTGTTGCGGTTGCACCCGACTTAAGAGCCGCATTGCTCACAGGGCTATACCTAATAAATGAAACTTGAAACTTGCAACCTGAAATCCATGGGCGTTCAACGTCTCCAGCACCACTGAGTACGGAGGCTGCGCGTCTCCCGGACAATTACTCTGCTGCAACCAGTGACAGGCGAGTGTCTTTACTGCATCAGAGCTCAGGGATCGGAAGCTGTAAGCTGCTCGTCCAGCACAAGGCCCGGATCAGAGTGTCCAGAGTCGAGACCCCATCGTGCGGTTGGGTGACTCTGCTCAGGGGAGACGCCAGTAGGGTCGGTTAATGCGATGGTTTTGTGATTATATAGTTCTCTTTTGTTTTAATCAAAGTTGTATTGGTGAAAGTCGGTTCTTCAATTCGGTCGAGCTTTGTTTAAGATTGGCTGCGTGCTGGGAGCTCTGGTGGGCTGGACTATTTTACGAGAGGTTTTAAGAGGCGTCCCTATTGGACCCCGACCAACCCTCATACCCGGGCTCCACCAAACCGAGATCAGCCAGGGACATTGTAAACACTTCTCTGACCTCTCTGCCTCTGGCCAATCTTATTTCGATTCATTATTTTCCGTGGTTATTTGGTAGTTAAATATATGGTGGATGGGTTATAAGCTGCCCCCACCCCACACCAGTCCAGATTCAATACCTGTCATCGTCCACTCTGAGAGTAATCAGCCAAATAACATCTTTCAGTGTTGCTGACTGGCGCCACAAATATATGTTTTATTTAAACAGGCACCAGAGACGAAGATCCCCAATATATATTCTTATTGACTGGAAGGCCAAGTGCTATTAGCGAGCACTTATCATGGCCAGCATGGAACACAAGGTTAAGGTGTTGTCCATGATAGGTCCTGAATTTTGTACAATAACAAAATTCAGGACCTACTTAATGATGGTAGCTACACAAAAAATTAAAGAGATCCCACCAGCAGCCTCGTTACAAAAACGAACAGTATCATCACTAATTCAGCTTCATTAATACTGGTAGGAAACGTAGTGGACTGGAAGCCCAACCGGGATTAATTCACAGGAGGCAGGGGATTAATTGTGTATGTCTGTGGATGTCTGTCCACGTGGGAGGGATGGGGCTGGGTGGAGAGGGGAGGGTAGGGAGGGGCTGGGTGGGGAGGGGAGGGGAGGTGTGGGGAGGGGCTGGGTGGGGATGAGGGGGGCTGGGTGGGGGGTGGGAGGGGTGGGGCTGGGTGGGGTGGGGCTGGGTGGGGAGGGGCTGGGTGGGGAGGGGCTGGTCACCCCGTGGTGCCCTTATAAAACTCAACGTTTTAGCTACTCACGCCGGCTTGTGCCCGCCCTCACAGTCGGGCATATTTGCGGAATACACCACGTGGTGCCGCCGTTGACCCTGGCCATTGACCGAGCAACCCAACGTTCCTGCCAGCTCCCTCCGCAGGAATGTGTTTGAACAGACCAAACGGTTTTCCTTAAAACCTTCTGCTGCTAGACCACCAATATTATACAGCTGACCAAAAATACATAAAGAAGGTACATCCCTTCGTCCCATCGTCTCCACCATTGGCTCACCCACCTACAAACTGGCCCGATATCTGTCTGAGACCTTGCAGCCATTCACTGGTAAGACCACCTCTTCTGTACTTAACTCAGCTCACCAGGTATCGTCAATTAAAGACATCTCACTGTCCCCAGGTGATTTGCTCATTAGTTTCGATGGAGTTTCTTTGTTCATCAAAGTTACTGTACCCAATACCATTGCAATCATTGAAGATTTGGTCCAACAAGGATTGAAGGATGATGTACCGGCCCTGGTGAGACACTGCCTCACCAATATATACTTCACCTCCAAATGAACATTCTACAAACAAACTGAAGGCACCCCAATGGGTTATCCCTTATCTCTGGTTGTAGCCAATATTTTCATGGAAAAGTTTGAGATGGACGCCATCCAGGCATCCACTCTACACCCGTCCTTGCGGAAGAGGTACGTGGATGACACGTTCGTCATCTGGCCACATGGCCGACTGGCTCTGAACCAATTCCTCAACCACATAAATTCCATACACCCAGCCATCAAATTCACCATGGAGGTAGAAAAATATGGCATGCTACCTTTCTTGTATGTCCTAATCAAAAAGAGACCAGATGGCTCAATGAGCCATTCTGTCTACAGGAAAGTAACCCATACTGACGCCTACCTAAAACCTGATTCCCACCACGATCCATCCCAGAAGAATTCCCTGATCAAAGCACTACACCAAAGAGCTCAATGTATCTCCGACCATGAACACCTAACCAGTGAACTCAAACAAGTACACCAAGCTCTCAAGGCGAATGGATATTCTGACTACACAATCCGAGAAGCCATCACCCAAACCGTGAGGAAGGAGCCATCTGAGGATGCAATCAAAACCATCACCTTGCCATACATAGCAGGGGTAACTAAAAATATTTCCAAAAACATGAACAAACACAAGATCCAGATCCGATTTTACACAGTACATACAATTTGTGATCTGATCCCATCTGTGACGAACAAGATTCCTGACATGCAATATCCCGGCGTCTACAAACTAAGCTGTATCTGTGGCAGCAGTTACATTTGAGAAACTAAGCGACATGTCTTGGACTGTGTTCGTGAGCATAAGGCAGATTTGAAACACGGTAGGACCAATACTTCTGCCGTGGCTGATCATTATTTTAATGCGGCTGGCTCACACGAAATTGATTTCTCTAAGACGATTGTACTTTGCAAACCTACTAACTATCAACAAAGATTCGTTCGTGAAGCCATACATGTACACAGACACAATTTCAATCGAAAGGATGGTTATAAACACAGCGATCATTTGAAAGATGTCATCAACCACTTTGGGTAATGACTTTATTTGTGTTTTCTTGTCAACCTCCACTGTCAGCAGTGTGGGTATGTGGAGCGAGGTGCAATGATTGACTGGCGGCCCTTTGATTGGTGTAGACCCACTGCGTTGTCGTTGCTTCCTCCTACATTAACATAAGCTGCCCCGCCCATGCTGCTGACACACTTGGGCTATGTCCCATCTCTAAACCTTTATAAACAGTTTGCCTTTAGAGGCTAACCCTCCTTTTCCTGATGACGACCACTTGTGTTGCAATCAAAACATAATGTTTATTTTATTTTATTCAGGTTAAGAACCAGGCTACAGTCTACATTATAGACTGCCAGTACGCTCACTCAGTGTAATAACCATTGCTACAATCTACATTATAGACTGCCAGTACACTCACCGAGGTTAAGAACCAGGCTACAGTCAACATTAGTGTTTTTATTATTATTTTATTATTTGTATTAACTTTCTTTTAATTTATTTTCTATCTACGTGACTTTACCGAAAGAACCAAAGAATATGAATTCCTGCAGTCACGAAAGTTTTAAGTCAGAATTATCAAAATCAATTGAATGTCCTTGTTGGCACGCGTGTTCTGTTACTGCTGACAGTTGTATTTGGGAGTATTTAATATTTCTCTGATGTTTTTCTAGTCTCGTACTGATCATTCGTCTGGTTTGCCCAACATAGCATTTGCCACAAGTGCAGCTAATCCTGTACACACATCTTTTGTACCAGATATGCATTTTTGTATTTTATGTACCGTGCCATCCAGTTCACCATGGAAGTGGAAACTGACAAAACTCTACCATTTCTGGATATTCTGCTCAGACGGGGTCGAAATTGTAAAATAATAGTGTTATACCGAAAGAAAACGCATACCGGCGCCTATCTGAATGCAGAGTCACACCATCACCCCGCACAGAAATCTGCTCTTATCAAGACGCTCATTCATTGAGCTAAGAAAGTGTCAGATGGTGACAGTTTGAGAAGTGAAATTAAACATGTTAAAGAAGCGCTGCAAATTAACGGTTACAATGATGCACAGGGCATTTGATATTGACTTAAAGCTTTTGTGACTGCAGGAATTCATATTCTCGGCTCTTTCGGTAAAGTCACGTAGATAGGTTCAAAGAAAAGAACAAAAAACTACGACGTTTTGATTGCAACACAAGCAATCGTCATCAGGAGAAAAAAGAGTGGGAAAGCTGTGGAGGCAAGCTGTTTTATAGGTTTGAAATGGATGTAGCCCAAGGGTCATGAACGAAGTGGGCAGGGCTAGTGATGTCAAAGTGAGAAATTTGCATGTAAATGTAAGATCGGAGAGCTACCTCCACGATGACGAAGGTGCGGAGGTGGCCATTGTCTTGTGAGAGATTAGCATGTCAATGTAAGATCGTAGAGCCACCGCCACCTCGAGGACACGAGCGACGGTGGCTGTGTTAATGTGAGACGTTTAACCTGTTAATGTAAAACTAGAGAGTCGAAAATAACTACTAACATTGGAAGGTAGGATGGAAACATCACAGCCAGTTATGACTTGAACTGGTTAATAACGTCCTTCCAATGATTGCTCAGCTTGTACCCATCTTCTCAGTTCAAATTGTGTCTGTGTCTATATATATGGATGGCTTCATGAACGAATCTTTGTTGATTGCCAGTGGGCTTGCAAGCCACAGACACAGGAAGGCCAAGTCAAAGGGCTCGTATAATGCGCATGCATAATGTACGTTGACTAATTAATCCCCTGCCACTTTGCGCAAGGATTTTGGTCGCGAAAGCCTACTTGTTAAACTAAGATAATCATCACTGGCGTTGGCCGTGAGTGGGAATCGAGCTCGGGTTGCCGGTTTAGTAGCGCACTAGGGATTACACTACCACTCAATTATACACACACACATGTGCAGCAGTGGTATTTTCCATTACACATTGCAACATGTGTACCTCCACACCTACACACGCCCAAACACACCCTACCCCACCCAAACCATCCCCACCACACCCCGCGCACGCGCGATGCGGACACACCCCAGGGTTCTGCTATAAATGCCGGGGTTGATGCTCACAGAAAGGCACAGCACGAGGTCAACTCTTCATAATTCCTTCCGACTCGTCAGCAATCACTTCCGTCGCTTCAACATGAGCTGCCCATCGAAGAAGGTGAGAGATCGACAACCCCTGCGCACCGCACACTGGACAGACGCCGCTGCCCACGGTGCCACCCTGCCCCTTGGGTGCCACTGCTGAGGTTATGCAATGCTACGGGGCATGTAAATGCATGTACAATAGCGTAAACAATGCTAAATATAGCACACGTTAAATGGGCATCAAGGTGGTCAAGGGGGATGACAACAGTGGATTCTCAAATATATTTGGAGACCCTTGCAAATGAGACATTCCATTTCAAGGGACGTTCCAGGTAAAATATAAACATGTGCTATGTTTAAATCCACAACCTCCCCCCTTTATAAATAGTTGTTGAAGAAGCCTCCTCGAGAGATTTTCTGGCAGTTGTGACCGACTGATGTAAATTATAATGATGTCTTAAAAGGGGGTTGAAATCTCAAATGTGGTACAACATTGACTTATTTGATTCGGTCGCCCAAATATGGATGGCCACTCAGGGCGACAGAGACCCATGTCATCCCATTACGATGTCACGCTCCCCGTTAAATGTAGAGCAATGGACCGAACCGAACTCCGCCGTTAAAATGCCATGTTCCCGTGTCTGTCTCACTCACTCATGCCAGTGTGAAGACCTGGAGGCCAAGTTCAAGGCTCTGGACAAGGTAAGCGATGGAACTTCGACTTCAAAAATTGTACTGTATTGTCACCATCATCCTCTCACTGTGGTCAGTAAAATAGGCACCAACTTACGGGCCATACCAGATAATGCAGAAACATCTTGTGGTTGCGTCTGTCTTACGGCCGGATTGAGGTATCTGCATAGAGGACTTTCAGTCATGGGGTTGTCTGACCACACTTCGCCATGCTGATTAGCTCTTGCTGGGTTCATAAAAAAAAACAGTGCACCAACCACTTTTCCACCATTCCTCGTCACGCCGCTCCTCTTTACAGACACGACACACTCTCCCGGTGTTCTGCCTGGGTTTCCTCCGGGTCCTTCGATTTCCCCCAAAACCAACAAAAAAATACAATGCAATTGCTATTGTTCAAACATCACAGTGCTGGAAAACAAAACCTGCAAATTACTCATGTGGGATTAGACAAAGGAACATCGTCCCCTGCTGTGAACACTTGGCAGGTCCCCCCTGAAAAATTGTCTTGAGACTTGGTAAGAGTTTGCTGGGTAAACAAAAATGATGATAATTTAATTGGCGTGCAGAATATTAATTTTAAAGACATTGCAAAACATCAGTAATGCAAAACATATTGCTGCCATTTAAGGGATATGACCACGCTGGTCAATATGGGTCATACCAAAACTATGGACCATATAGTAAACAATTATAGTCTGCCCTCCTTCAATGGAGGAGGATCTGTAAAACTAAACGAACTCTCTCCTGAAGCCCTCACGTGGCTAGCAGACCTCGACGTTGCCAATTAGATCCTGAACATATTGCTGCCATAGGCAAGAATGGAAGAGTTACGGGTCATTAATACCGCGAGCGTGCCCCCTGTCACCAGGATGGCAACAAAAGCCTGAGCAAGGCGGAGCTGAAGGCCGGACTCTCGGTCCTTGGACTCAGCGAGAATCAACTGGACAGCTTCTACCTGGCAGCAGACAAGGACAAGGATGGCAAGATCAGTAGCAGCGGTGAGAGACATCAGCGCTGGCACCTCACCCGGTCGTGTCCCGTGCAGGCCTTCAACGGCGCTCTTCACTAACAGCACTTGCCCCAACGGCCTCTCAAGGCTACATGGGAGATCGTTGGGGTGTGTGTGTGTCGTCTTTTTGTGTGTGCGTGCTCCCGCGTGCTTGCGTGCTTTGCGTGCCCCGTGCGTGTGTCTGTACAATTGTGGTGATTAATTGCCCCCCGTTCGCACTGAAAAGCCAGCATCAATACTCAAGGTAAGTGAAAAAAAGTGTTTTCTTCTATTTATGTTACTTTATTTTGTTTTATTTACTGTACAGAAATTGTGTACATTGTCACGTGCAAATGTGCAATATTTCTTCTTAATTTCATAACACTTACCGTATGGGAATTTAAATACAGTGTATTATTGTGTTCCAACGTAAAAACCGTTCAAACTTACGAACGGGTCTCAGGAACGAATTAGGCCCGTAACCCGAGGACTGCCCGTACCTTGCGTAGCCTAATTGACACACGATTGATGTGTTTTCGCGTGCAGAGTTCGTCAGATACTTCCAGCAAAAGAAGTAAAGAACGATCGTGGAAGCTGAAAACCAACCACACGGCCCCGTGCACACTGCAACACTCGGTCACACACCAACAGGCGCGCAGACACACACGATGCACACTGTCACCCCGCCAACACGTGCATACCACCAGCACGTGGCACACAGCGGCTCAACATACACTTCCTTCACACGAATGCAAAACATCCCAAAAAATGAAAGTGCTTAGCACGTAAAATACATCTTATTTATGTGTAATATAATGCAATTGACATCCTAGATGCATATTACGATCCTCTACGACATATTTCAGACACACATGCATTTGCTAATAACAGAAGGCACACACAAACGATACAAAATTATCTCAAAAGCTGTCTGGTTTTCTCTCTTTCCTCTGGGTGTTCTGGTGAGATGATACGAATGAATTGAACTTGAAATAAAATTACAATCTACCAGTGCGCTGTGGTGTGCGTGTGCATTGATTCTGTGGTGATAACACGCAACTTCACCTACTCCAGCCGACATTCGCCACAAACGTCAGTGACCAATCACGGCACTTGTGCCAAGTTCGGTGCACTGTGTACACAGAGGCACTTGAGCTCTTTCCTTGGCATAAGGTCATAAGGTCATGGGTCAGAGCTGGTTAGCAGATGCGCACTGATGAGACCGACCGGTGTTCAGATCTTTCAACGATCTGTGAGTTTGAGGTTATTTGTTGCACGGGTAATAACATTTGGACAGTTGCGCGACTTGTTTTACACGGGAGATCCATAGTGCTTGAACACAGCAACAACAAAAACATCAGTAATGCAAAGAATGACGACACTCTTTGAGGGTTGTTAATTTTTAACGTGCGAGAGCGAGGAGTTCGGATCCATTTTCTCTTCCATGCAATTCCCGCAATATATATTTTTTTACAGGACACCAAATGCGGATTTTAAAACGTGCTTTAGCGGTGTAATTGATCAACTATGCCTTGATTCGCTATGCACTACTGAGGCACTATGCACAAGGACGCAAACCAAATGTGGCGGATAATAATTTATTGACAACCAAGCACAACCAACTCTTCAAAGCTCTCGGCAACAGTAACAGCACACATTTACATCACCCCGCAGTTCACCAGCTTAACACAGCATACCGATATTTGAAGTTTTCGTGACTGCAGGGATCCATACTCTTTGGTTCTTTCGGTAAAGTCACGTAGTAGGTATAAAATAATTCACGACGTTTCGATTGCAACACAAGCAATCATCATCAGGTGGGAAAACCACAGCAACATTTTTTTTTGCTGAAGTGGGAGAGAGGGTTGCCGTGATGGTTGCTTGTGTTGCAATCTAAACGTCGTGATTTAATTTATGTTATACCCACGTGACTTTGCCGAAAGACTCAAAGAGCGCAGCATAGCTGTCAACCCATCGGATGTACTCTTCTTGTATAGGGGTATTCTTGTATAGGGGTATTCTTGTATAGGGGTATTCTTGTATAGGGGTATTCTTCTATAGGGGTATTCTTCTATAGGGGTATTCTTCTATAGGGATATTGAGTTTTTAGGTCCATACGGCATACAGCCGTTTTAATATGGGGACATTTTTTTTCTATTTGTGTTTCTCCCTTGTCATGGGACTTTGTAGGATGAACGTTGAGATTTATAAGGGGGCACGGGATGACCAATAAGGCCTGAATTGGTCTGTAATAAGGTAGGGCACTGATAAGGGGTTGACAGGTATGACACAGCGACCCCGGGTGTCGACCAATCACAGAATTCCGTGGTGACAAAACAGATACAGAAAACTGCGATGACAGTTCGCACCGATCCTGACGCACGCGTCACCCCTGGGTGACGGAGCAACGCAGCAAACGACCAGGGAACGCAAATCCGCTCTCGAGGTCGCCGAACAGCCCCAGGGATCCCCCAGGGACCGAGTGCCGCACCCGCGGGATTTAACGCAGAATCAACCTCGGTCTTGATTTGCACTCACAACAGCGCCCTGAGTGACTCCATGCAGCGGCAGTCTCGCGACTTGGCTGGTGCTTTCAACAGAGCTCTGAACGACTCAACGCAGCTGCAGTATGGGGCCTTACTTAAATGACGTCACGCGATTTTGGACGATTTTTGACCCCCCCCCCCTCGTCACACGGCGTCACAAAAAGTCAGACCCTCCCTCAAATATGACGTCACAAAGCTCTGCCCCCCCCAAAAAAATATTTCCATTTTTAAAATAAAACATGCTTCAAATAGCTTTAAATTATTGTCATTGTAGTGCGTATTCAATGTGGCGCTGCACTCTGATGTTGTAGGAGTGCTGTTAGAACAATTAGTGTTGTTATAACAATTCTAGATTTATTTAAAGTTGCGCATTTTGATGTGACGTCACATTTCTCACCCCCTCCCCTCCTCGTCACACATCGTCACAAATGTCTGACCCCGCCCCCACCCCCCCTAAGTTTGTGACGTCATTTATAGACGGCCCCTATCGGTCACTGACCCGCCCGTACGGCCGCATCACCCACAGCAAATCCGGGCATCGGCAGTCCCGGGTCGCCCGTACGATGGCAGCAGCTCCCCAAACGAACGATGGCAACGGCGATCCCGGCTACCAAGCAGCCCACACGACAACAGTGCCTCGCAGCAGGCAGTACTATTCCAATTCCCGAGAAAGGCTATTGCACGTGGCCAGCTGTAGTAATGTTTTGTTATTTGTGGAGACTCTCCAACGCGGGGCTTGTAGTCCATGGGCTCTGCCAAACCGAGGTGAGCCAGGGGACATTGTAAACACCTCTGCCCTCTGGCCTATCTTTTGTCGATTCATTTTCACGTGGTTATTTGGTATTTAAATGTACGGTGGAAGGGTTATAAGCCCCCGACCCGCACCAGTCCAGATTCAAGACGAACGCCGACCACCCCGTGTCTCCCGTACACGGGAAGCGCTCACTTAAAATACACAACTTTGGTTTCGTCCTCACAGCCTCTGTCAATAAACTTGGCCCATGCAGCCCCCCCCCCCAATCAGAACCCTGTAACATCATTACATAAGGCCCAGACTTTTTGTTGACCTCACTCTCCACCAATCATGCAACAGCTCCGTCGAATGACCCCCTCAACCCACGCCAACCGGCTTGATCTGGCTGCCCAACTCGTGCCCCAGCCCCCAGTCAAGGCCAGACTCCGTGGCGCTTCCGGAGATGGGGGAGTTTGGGGGGGGGGGGTTCCCCCTCATAACCGCTCACCCCAGGCCAAACTATTTGTCTATACTGTCGCAGGTTCTTCAAGGAATATTGCACAACAAGGTATTGATCGGTCGTAGACGAAGCACACGCGAATAACAAAAAATGTCCAATTCATCCTCCGAGGTCAACAAGATGGCGCTGATCCACGATCTGATCAATGATTGTAGATTCGATATATTGGCCATTACTGAAACCTGGTATATAACAACTCACCGGACATAATTAAGTGTCAGGCTACACCCAACGGATACGCTATTGTACATCAGCACCGTAACGGAAAGCCTGGCACCGGCAGCTCGGATGGTGGAGAGAATGCACTGATTCACTGTGAAGATATCTGCGAGAAAGTCCTTGGCGACTCATCAACAATTACGTCATTCGAGCTGCTGTTTGTGAAAATCATGAGCAAGATGCGAGGGGTTACAATCGCTGTCATCTTTCGATTACTGTCTCCACCACTGTCAGAATCTTGTCCGAGCTTTTCGATCTGTTAGACTGTGGATCACTTGACTCTCGCTACATCATATGTGGTGACCTGAACTGTCCCGGACCAATCAGTTATTGTAGTAAAATCAACAGTGATCTGGCGAAGATTATCGACAGTCAGCGGCACAACATGTCACTAATAAAGTAATATTTAAAAAAAAATGTAAAACACGCTATAATGAAATGTACCACAACTCCAGGAAGTGGCCCCGAAGCTTTCCATAACGTAAGGGGCCGTGCGCATTTACAGCCAACGTCAGTTGAGCGTGGAAAATTAGACCAAAGCCGAAACATAACGTAAAATAATGTTTTAAAATATATATTTCATTTTAATGATAGAATATAGTATTGTCATCAGTATGACATAGGTATACCAAGCTTGCAATCGATACCACATTGGGAAGTGGGTAAAATTTGAGTTACAAGATTTGAGGATACAACAGAGTGAGTTAATAAAAAGCACGTAATAAAATACATTGAATCACATCTTCACATCCGTCAATGCCGTACATCTGACCGACGCTGTTATCAACGACGCGGGTATTTCAGATCATAGTCTCGTGACGTGCAAAGTGGCATTCCTGATAAATATTCGCCCACCTATCACAAAGTTGTCATACAGAGACTGGAAACGACTGGACCACGATGCTTTCCAATCAGAAGATCCGGTCATCATCGGCGTGTCTAAATCGTGCATCGACGGTCGATTAATTTGCAGCTCAATTAGAAAATTACATCACTGCTGTTCTTGATGAACTCGTGGCCGTGCGAACACGCGCAAAGAAAATGGGGTAAATGTGTGGTAACTGGCTGTCACCAGAGGCGATTACAGCAAACCAGACCTAGAAAAGGCTGCAGTGTTTTTGGAAGAAAACCGGTTTCGAGACTATTTGACTTGCTTGCAGAGCCGCCTACAGATCTGCCAACCGACTCATTATGGAGTCTCACAAATTGTTTGATCCTCTGCGCGTCAATGAGTCGGTGCCCGACCCTCGTGCTTATGCAGCACGTCGTGAGGGGTCTTCTGTACTTCAACCACCCATAAACTAGTCATGCCGGTCTGTGCACAGTACTTGCGATGTTCTTCACCAATAAAATAGTGATGGTCAAGATGGCAGTTTCTAACTTGAAGGCAACGCATCCCCATCTGCCATCTGAGTTATGATCAATCTGGAATCAATGCAAAACTCGAGACCCTGGCATCAACATCGGTGGCAGAGGTGTTGCTGCTCGTCTACATGCACATGTTGATTCTCAAATCATGCTCGGACGTGCTTACGCCGTTGATTGTCCACCTAGCAAAACTTTCGTTCAGCGAGGGCTGTTTCCAAGACCGGTTCAAAATGGCGCAGGTAATACTGCTCCTGTAAAAAAGTTCGCTTGAGCTATAGTGACCTGCAAACTATCACCAGATCTCAAACCTGAATACAATTTCAAAGGTCATAGAGCACTGAAGCTGTTACTTCCCCACGTCGCTGCGATGGGCAGATTCAACCCGTTGTAGTTGGCATACTGGAAGTTCCACAGCACCGAGACGGCTCTACACAAGATCACTGATGACCTCTACAAGATCATTGATGGCATGTGCACCACAGCATTGGTTAGACCTCGATCTCTCAGCCGCCTTCAACACCATGGACCATGAGATACTCATCGCGCAACAAAGGGCCAGGGTTCAGTATGTGGCAGTGGGGTGGATTGAGTTATACCAAGATGTTCGATCACAGTTTGTCAAGCTGGG